CACTACAGACGTTGTAAGTGGTCTTGCGTTCTGTAGCAACCAGGCCGGCAGGCTTTGAATGGAGTGTTTGACAGCCTAGGAAGCAAGAACATTTCCCTGGAACATAAATTGACTAAGGGATTTGACAGTGGTCAAAAGAATGGAGGATTTGAGAGTTTTGCTTAGTATTCCACATTTCATTTCATCCACTGAAACACACACACACACAAATTCTTTCTCTTTTTTTCACTGAAAACACTAGATGGGAAAATGTAAGTTCGTTTTACCATAAGAGACAAAACACTGGATGAATTGGTGAATAATGATGAGGAACGGCATCAGTTGTCATTAAAGTTGAGGGATGCCATGTGCAGCAAAAGCCTCATTTTCATTTCACTGGGACTTTCACAAGGATCATGTTTAACGGAAAGTACCATTTTAGATTAGCTCATTGGCATTAAATTAATTGGTTGGCAAATAGCAAAATGGGAAACGAAAATCTCCATAGCAAATAGGTAACGTTGAGCACTTACAATGTGATAAGTGATAAGCACTGTTCTAAACCCTTTATATATATAAACTAAATCAACAACCCCATTTTACAGATAACAGAACTAAGTTTAATTTGTGCAAAGTCACAGTGAAGTGGCAGAGTAGAGATTCCAGAACCCTTGGGTTTGAACCACTCTACCAGTGATATTTAAACTAGGCTCTGTAGTGGAATCATCTCAGGAGTTTTAAAAATCAAATGTGGATCCTTAATCCCTCCCTGGGAGCTCTGGTAGCATAGTGCCTAAGGCACTTGACTGCTAACCAGAAGGCTGGTGGTTCAAACCCACTAGCCACTCCTTGGAAGGAAGGTTGGGCAATCTACTTCCGTAGTGATACTGCCTAGTGATACTGCCTCGGAAACCCAAGGAGGGGTCGCTATGAGTCAGGGCCGACTCAGTGGCGCATAACAACAACAACAACAATCCCTCCCTACCCAAGATCAATTCCATCAGAATGCTTGGGGTTGGGTCAGGCATACATATGTTCTAAAGTGTCCCAGGTGATTTTCCTAGGTTGCCAGGGTTGGGAACCATGGATTTTGTTTCTGAAAAGGTTCTGCATTTAGTGTGTGATTTGTTCTCATTAAGCATGAAGACAATACCAAAGGTCTAGAAGAGTTTCTGCTCTTTGGAAATTTGGTTGAGAGGCAGGAGCTATAGAAGAAAATAATAGTATTTAAGGTACTACCTTAGGGTCAGGAGCTCTGGTAGTGTAGTGCCTAAGGCACTTGACTGCTAACCAGAAGGCTGGCGGTTCAAACCCACCAGCCACTCCTCGGAAGGAAGGTTG